TGACTTTATAATTTCAATTTTGCGTCAAAACCTTCAAAAATAAGCTATTTCTGGCTACTTCCGGTTTGACCGGAAGTGACGACGACGGACGGAAAATTAATTTTTATGCTCCCAGAGACGCATGTTACCCAAAAACTTGTCAAGAAATGCAAAAATAGGCATTTTCCGACTACTTCCGGTTTGGCCGGAAATGACGACGCCGGTTGTTTTTTGACGACTCCATAAGATAAAGCTTGACATTTTAAACAACTTTGCTTCTTTGACGTATTACAAATTCTCAAAACTTTTTGAGATATAAAGAAAAAACTTTCGGCCCCTCTGGGTCCTTTATTTTAGGGGCCAGCCCTTTTTACCAGATATGATTTGAAAGATCTTGGAATTCTACACTTCTTTTATTCTATACATCTTAACAAAATATTTTTAGGTTAAAAGATATCGAAGAAAAGGTGTTAGAAATTTTAAAATTCTCGACATGCCCTTTTTCGGACAATAGAGAGCGTCGGCGTGCAGCACTTCCGGTGAAAATGAAATGCGTATGTCACATCTACATACATTGCTCTATCATTGCTCAAAACTCAAGTTTCTATCCTAAGCCGTTTTTGAGAAAACTCGCGGACAAACTGACCCCCTGAAAATCACTAAATCGTGAAAATCTCAAAACCGGAAGTGACGTCATCAAAACAAAAAATTATATATCAAGTTCGTTTGATGTTCTATCAGTCCTGGAAGTTTCATGAAAATCTGGCGAGCCGTTTCCGAGAACTCGCGTGCACAAAATCGGTAAGAAAAAAAACAATAATAATAATAAAAATAGTGGAAAAGAAACCTAAGAATAACAAGAAGGTCTTCCGCTGAAGACGGAAGACCTTAATAAAAATAGTGGAAAAGAAACCTAAGAATAACAAGAAGGTCTTCCGCTGAAGACGGAAGACCTTAATAATAATAATAATAAGAAACAGAGTAAAAACAATATGTTCCCCAACTTCGTTTGGGGAACATAACAAGGATGCTTCCACATAAGTTTCAGCTTTTCTGACCCGGAAGTTCTTGAGAAGAAGATTTTAAAAGTTTTTTTTTCCTATTTATTTCTATGTACAAATTTGATTCCCTATTGTGGCCCCGCCATACACCCGGGGGTCATGATTTGAACAATTTAGAATCTAGACTACCCCAGGATGCTTTCACACCAAGTTTCAGTTTTTCTGGCCCAGTAGTTCTTGAGAAGAAGATTCTTTAATGACCCCACAATATTCTTTTCTTGATTATCTCCCCTTGTGAGAGGACCTGGCCCTTCATTTTAACAATTTAAACTTCCCTTTACCTAGTGATCCTTTGTACCAAGTTTGGTTAAAATTGGCCCAGTGGTTCTTGAGAAGTCAAAAATGTGAAAAGTTATCAGACAGACGGACAGCTAGACGGACAGACAGACGGACGACAGACAAAATGTGATCAGAAAAGCTCACTTGAGCCTTTGGCTCAGGTGAGCTAAAAATGAATTGTCACAGTTTTGAAAATGTTTGCAAAATTTCATATAGACTAAAAGGCCCATATCTAAGAAGCACGAAAACTTAAGATTTCTTTATATTTTACAGATTTATTATGTATGTCATTTCCATTCAAAAAATATATATCAATCTATGCATCAAAATTTTGTTCGTGTTATATGTTTTCTTAAATGGTTAAATATTTATAAGTCAGCCAATCGTCGCCCGATCATAGAGTTCTGTGCTACAGTTTGATTTTAAGCGTCGGTCGAAATTCTGGAAACCCTTATTGTCGAACGATGGACGACCGACTTTAAAAAATGAGCTCCGATGGTCGGACGATGATCGAATGTTGGTCAAAGGATTACTTCAATTGAAGAAATCGGCCACCGATGCATAAAAAATTGGACCAATGGACACAAAAGTCGGTCTATGAAAAAAGAAGTCAAAATTGGACAAGACAACGTCCAATGAACTGCCGACTGTCACACGAAGAATCCCATTTTGCTTCAAAAACCGTACGTCGGCCGTTGGTCGTTTTTTGGAAATGTGACTGGGGTTTTTTGAGTCGTCAAATACTAGTGTTGGACGATCACTTTTTTCAGACGATGATAGGAGAAAACAATTGGTCAGCCGATCACGTCTTTCTGCAGAATTGTTAACTAAAATTGAAAGATCTTTAGTCGACACTCACGGCCATTGAATAATGATGGATCTTTTTTGTAACAGCGCCTATTGAGAATTGGAACCTCGGTTTAAACGGTATCATCCGAAGATCCGGTCTCCTCGTCCCACAGTGGGATTCTAGCCCGCAACGTCAGGATCAACTCCTTACTTCGCGACTTTATTGCAAAAGCTCTAACCCCCTGCCCACGTGCGACTTTTGGATGGTAAAAAAATCAGAGATGATACTGCGAAGGAGTGATACTACTGCAGCTAGGGCAAGATACCGGTATTTACTAATTTATTAATTATAATGAACTTTTTATTTGAACAATGACTTACAACTTGCATTTTTGCCCTGGAATCGAACCGAACGCCAAAAATTGACTTGCACGGTGCTTTATTACTTTAGATAAGACTATTGGAACTTCAGTCGGTCGATGCCAGCAGTTCTCTCGGGTATCAATGGTAGGCTAAAGATGCGTCATGCAAAAATTCCTGGTGTCCTGGGTTTGTTTATGGAATTAAAAAACAATTTAAAAACAAAAATGCACTAGATCAGATAAAATTTTAATTTTAGTGTACTAGTATATATGTATATGACTATAATGTCCATTCGAGTCAGTCATTCAATTTTGACATCGTTAGAAAATTAGGGGAAAAAACCATTGAATTATATTGAAGCAAAAAATAAAATAATGAAAACCCAAAATTAAAGCTACATGACAGACCAGGACGTGGAAGATGTGACAAGAACGCTGTTTTTAGACTTTATACAACCATTCCTAGGATAAATAAGTTATAAACTGGCCTTTTTATCATAGAGAACTCCTTCTTTAATAAAAATAAATCTTAGATATTTCCTATTATGTGATTGATATGCACACAAATACCATGCAGGTCCTCCAACAATCCTTCTTTCTTTCTTTTTTTAAAAAGCAGAATTTATTAATCAGCTTTTACATGAAAAGAAGAAACCACCATTTGTTGCCCTTACACTCAAAACTTAAACCATTTTTGTATTCACTTGCAGCAGAATCTGTACAAAATCTAATACGTGGACAGGAGAAAACACTTGCTGTGGCCTTCAACTCAACATTTAGATATATCGACGACGTATTGTCAATTAACAATAGTTATCTTCATCGCCTGCATGCGGAGTTTATATTTCTCAGTTGATTCGATACACGAGAGCATGCTCCATGTATTAAAAATTTCTAAATCGAGGTAAATTTTTGACAAAAAAATTGCTGAATATCAGTAGTCTTGTTTAAAGTCATAATTTCGTAGTCTGTGTTCGATACAATGACCTTGTCAGCAAATACAATTTATCATTATGCCAAATGCTTATTGTCGATTTTCATACTAATTGTTGAACCATTACATACATACTTAATTGTCGACAGATTTTTTTTCCGTTATAGGCCGATCATGACAAGGAGCATATGGCCGGTGTGACCGGTTGGCATCTTTGTGAGGAGTAAAGAAAGATGGTTGATTGAATACTAGTATTTACTGGAACCCACAATGTATCTTTCTTTGTAAGGATTCTTATGAAGTTTCGGAATCCTATATATATATATACACATATATATGGTAGTTCAAATTCATTTTGTTTCTTCAGGATATTAAAAATATTCAAAACTGACATATGATTTTCAAGAATTTCTTCCTTAGAAAGGGAACTATGAGTATAAGTTGGATTACCACTCGTAGAATTTTAAAAAGATTTTTGAAGTTCTATATCCCTTAGTTAAGTGCTCCGTGCTAAGCAGGGATCTATGAATTTGTACTTTACTGAAAAAAGTATTTCACTTTGCTATTCACCTTTGAAAACTAATTTCTGTTAATAATGTATTGAAGGGTCAGTTTAAAAGATAATACAAAAAGAAGTTGTAAGGGTCAGGTAGACCTGTTAAATATAGAAAAAGTAAAAATTAGCTAAAATAAGTGACTAGTATCAAATTTGATGACAAAAGAGGTCAATGTAAGAGGGAATAAGATTGGTTTATTAACGTTCTCAAGCACTTTTATCAATCTACAAAATGGTAATGAAAATTATAAGGAAGTAAGTTTTTTTGATATGTTACTGCATGGGTACTAGCCCAATTCCTTATGTAATCCCAGACCATCCTCTTAATTCTACTTTTGGCCATAAAACTTCCTCTTCATTATTTTAAAATTTTATTTCGCTTTAAGGGTTCCTTTATATAATTGATTTAGATGATACTCAGATGACCGTTATGGACCTTGGGCCTTTATTATGAATTGTTCATAATTCACATGTCTCACTTCATGCAGACTTCAAATTCATAATTCAAGTATCTGTCAATAATCTTTTTTTTTGCTTTAAGAGCAGTCGTGAATTGGAATTTCTCACGTTTATTTTCGTTTCAACATACTTTTATCATGTAGCGATATCTCAAGTACATATAAGCATTATATGATGTATCAAATTGTCTTCCTTGTGAAATGACAAAGTTTAATTAGTGTACAAATGATAAAACTCTAAACAAATAAAGTGCCATACTTGTCTAGTGTCCTACTATGACCAATTTTCCTAAAATTACAATTCATAGCTATCATGATTTATTGAAACTCTCACAAAACAAACACTCAAAAAAGGATAATTTTTTTTAAAAATCAGAGTAAGAGTTTTATGCGAAATAAAAGCATAATAAAATAGAGAGAATTAATAAATGTTTAGATTGTTTATTCAAATAGTAATAATAGTAATCTTTCGACAAGATTTTTTCCGTGTAAAGAATTTGCCTACTCAAGTGTATTGAATTAGAAAACACGGAAATGCACGTTTTATTTAAAGTATAATATTAATACATAAAATTCTGTATTATATCAAGAGGTTCTAAAACGACCATCGGGATACAGATATAAATGTCTAAATCTCCGATAGGAATTTCCTTAAACCTCGAACACGGAAGACCAGAGGGTCCCGTTTTCTAGAAATATTAACCAGACTTTAGTCAGATTTCCGACGTACAATGTATACAGACATCAGAGGGTGGACTGTCAGAATCAGGCTCTTTCCTCTTCTCGCGTTATTTTTCTTCTCCACGGTAACTGCCTACAAACCTGTTGTTTTGGTACATGGTGTTTTTGGCACTGCTGACGGGGAGTTCAGACAAACCTTTGATAAATGGATCCCCGAAGTAAGTCACTTTTTATCCTCCTCCGACTTATTGCTACAAATTTGCAAAAATGCATCATTTAATTCGTTGTCATCAAATTTGGGAAATATCCTAAGAAAATATACGTGTATAAAAATATTTATATCATACAAAACGTTGGCTGTATTTCTATGAAAATAAAAAAGAAACTCTAGACGCATAAATCCTCACCTACCAAAGTTCTCCTGAATTTGATTTAATGCTACATAATTAGAATCGCAAAGAAGGAAAGGAAAGAAAAACATCCATGAAGAATGCTGGAACAGAAATGACATTTTAGAAATTGCAGGATTATACCGGAAACACTGATGCATTGAGAACTTTAAACACTATATGGACACAGAATTTTGTAAATAGCTTCAGACCTAACGAGTTATAACGGGTCATCCTCTCTAGCGATAAATCTTTTCCTATTACTCAGGCTGCATCTTCTCATTCTTCCTCTTTCATGAAAATATTTAGTTCGGACTTATACTAAATAGTAATGATATAGTCCACTGGTCTAACATCAAAGATAAAACTTGAAACATTCACTACTAAAGATTAAACCGTCGAATTTTTAACGTTATTTGTTAACTTTATCATTTTTTTCAGGCGGAGGGAGCTTTTAGATTGAAATATTTTTACTACTTTTTATCCTCTTTTGTTATACACGCGCAAAAAATAATCTTAAGGAAATATTTTTCTTTGAAATTGAAAGAAATAAGTTCAATTCTTCCGACTATCAAAAGTACTGAAATATCTTGATCTGCCTATAACAAACAAAATGCACATAAAACAATCCGTTTTGACGTTATTTTCATTTATAGGAATTGAAGGAATTAAAAGAACTATATGCGGTATATTGCATATGTTTGCCCCCACAAAAGTCAAATTTTGAAAACTTCCTAATGTGCTGAATTCAATAAATTGTACGAGAAATATAAGTTAACAGAAAATATTATAGTTCCAGAGCAGTGTATTCACAATTTCTGTTTTTATGACGTCACAAACTAGTCCGATTTTATATCCTTTTCCAGAAAGAGGACAAAATGGACAAAATTTCAACAATTTAAGCTTTAAAATTTATAGAGCGTATGTGTGTTCAGGAACAATATTGACATATTTCATTGATATTATCATTCTACACATTATATCAAAATATTTATCCTGAACACACATACGCTCGGTGACTTTTATTCAAAATATCGACGAAATACGAGGGTCATTCAAAAAATACGTAGACAATGCTTCTCATCGTCATATGATTATTACAGGATTATAGATCAACACATTTTCGTAAACATAAACATTTATTTCGTCGAAGTGTGAAGTTTCATTCCATTTGATTAATTAGAACTCATGTTAGCCAAAATTAAAAGCAACATGTTTTGTTACCACGGAGCACGGTTAACCAATATTGTAACGTCAAAAACAACGTTGAGAAAGTTTATCAAAAGTATACACATTTTTGTTATTTCAAACACGATTTGTTGGTCTTTTCCATTCAAAACACATATCCACAATACTTAATACCTGGTTTGCTAACAATTGTACAAATATAGCTTAAATTAAAATGTTATTGTCTTCAAATTCTTTGATTTACCATTCAACTTTATTATTTGTGCAACATTGAAGCGCACATCACGTTCAATGACGTACCTTACTCTTTTGACAATATTTTTAACTTTAACATGTTTCTTTGCAGACAATCCATCGTCCGATTCAAACTCGCTACCACTCAAAATTTGTATTTTCAACTTAATTCAAATACACAGATTTTTTTTCATACAGATCCTGGTTTATAAGGATGTTTAAAGCTTGTAGAAAAAGTTTCCCGAATGTAAAGTCTAATTTTATTGCTACTTGCTGCTCCGTGACGTCCTTCAACGTCATGGTTTTTTGCCTTTTTTAATCAAGTCCATATGTATTTAGAAGCTGATATCTTTTAAATGGAACGAGATATAACATAACCTGATTTCATTTCAATTAATAAGCAATACTTTATTTAAACATGTAAATTTCATTTCGTTTCAGCTCCATTTATTAGAGGTGTAGCTGTAAATACTATAAAGTGAAAATTAGAAAATTACTCAATTTTGACGGTGCTCCGTGACCCCAATTCTGCTGTTCTAAATCCTTGTTAATTTTAATAGATATTAGGATATATTCCAATTTTTTTACTCAAATTATTTGAATCTGCTGTTAAAATATTTGTACCAAATTTGGATATAATATGACGTTAAATAAAAAAGTTAGGACAAAAGTCTACGAACTTTTTGAATGACCCTCGTATGTACATTTTTCTGCAAAATTCATAAAAAACGGAAATTACGTCATATTTGTTACGTCATTACGTACATATGACGTCATTACTTATGAAATCATTCTGTGCTTTGAAGTCAGCATATACTCCCCTGTTTAAGGACTTAATTAAATATTACTCCATCAAAGTTTGATTTTGGGGGGCAAATGTTGGTTAATACCGCATATAGTTCTTTGTTTGAATTTATGTTCCCTCTAGGAACATAAGGGTACTACTATTTACCCGATCCGTCTGTATGAGAAGTTGTGTAGCCTCACTCCCATGTGGATCCAGATCGCTAAAATACGACAGAAGGTAGCAGACATCATGTCGAACCATTCAGACGGCATCCATTTTGTATGCTTCTCGCAAGGTATTTCTACTCATTAAAACCATCAGGAGAAGGAGAGAAGAAAAGAATGAAATTAAAGATACAAAAAATTATTATAAAAAAAATTCCAAAAAATCCTCATTGCACATTTCAAAATTTTACTACAGGAATGTGATATGTGTTTCTTATTTATTTTGTGTTTTCATGACATGGTCTCTATTCCTTAAAATAATGATTTTGACCCCATTAAAGATGATATACCGGAAAATTTTTATTATTCTGAAAAGAACTGTTTTGATAATATAAAAATATTTCTATTTAAATTAATAATAGTTCAAACTAGTACTTTTTTGGTCAGACTGTTTTTGATTCACATGTATTAGAGATGGTAAAGGTAAAAACGAGTACTCTTTTGGTCTGAATAGTTTTGATACATTTGAGATGATAAAGGTTAAACTGGTGCCATTTGGTCAGTCTAATTTTATTACATAAGAGATGATAATGGTTAAACGAGTACTCTTTTGTTCAGAATAATTTTGATACATTAGAGGTAAAACTAGTGTCAGAATAATTTTGATACATTAGAGACGATTGAGGTATTGCTAAAACTCTCTTGGTGAGACTTTTTTCGTTACATATGAGATGATACGGGTAAAGGGTAAAATCTGGTGCTATTCTAATAAAACTCTTTTAGGTGGATTACTTTGCCGTGGTGTGTTGTCCTCAATGAACCACAATGTGGACACGTTCATCTCTCTGTCCTCTCCACAGGCGGGGCAATACGGAAGTAAGTTAGAGAAAATAAAATTAAAAAAAACTAATAAAAATAAATAAATAATAAAGCAAATACAAAATGTATTGCTTTATAGTCATTTTTCTGATTATTTATCAAAATTTATTCGTTTGATCTTAATTTTTACAGTACCAGAACGATGGAAGAAATATATCGATATTCTGAAAAAGACAGCTTACAAGTCAGTATAATGAACTCTAGCATATACTCATCTAAATTAAATAAACCCTCTGATTTTTTTTCTGATTTTGCGTAAGATTATGTTGGTAAATGTATTTAAATAAAGAACATCAATTACACACAGGCTTCTGTACTCAAACTTCTTCCAAGAAAGACTCTCCATTGCAAATTACTGGAATGGTACGTATTGATATGCACTTTAAAAGGCTTTTTTACATGACTTTGTAAATTCTATAGTTTGTTATATTTTAATTTTAAGACCCCCACCATCAAGATCTTTTCCGGCAACATTCTGCGTTTCTGGCACCTCTTGACGGTACGACTCCAACAGCTAACTTAACAGGTACCACATTCAGTATCAACACTACTGAAGTATTCATTATTTTTTAACGACATTATAGAACAATTCTCAGGTAAGCTTGGACTCTCAGTGAGGTGTGGCATTCTCGGCGCTACGTAATAAGCGTCTGTCAAATGGCAAATAGATTCTCGTTGGTTAATAACATCAGGAACTTTATATTGTTGTTGACAACGATGGGACGACTTAAGCCCCACCTCTTTGCCGGACGAGACATTGGAGACAATGCATGGTATTGGTTATTCGATACACTGACATTTGCCCGAATTTCTATCCCATGTATATTTCAACAATAAATGAAAGCTGTGTAATTTTCAGATGCTAATTATGTAAAGTCGAGAATGTCACGCCTTACTGAAAGTCCAAGCTTACCTGAGAATCGTCCTAAAGTCAAATAACTTGTTACTGCTTTCCTAAAAATGTCAATCTTGATTTTTTTTTTCTTCTTTCAAAGAATACAAAATTAATTTTCTGAAACTCCGGAAATTAGTTTTGATTGGTGGGCCACAAGATGACGTCATCAGACCTTGGGAGTCCAGGTAAACAAATAGATCCCAAATTAAGTTCTTACAATTTCTGAATAATTTTCGGGAAGATTTGTGTTAAAACTGAAACTTCAGTTTAATGCTGTCAAAATAAAAATGGCTAATGATTTTGGGATCTCTTTCAGTCATTTTGGTTTTTATGACGACAAAGAAGGAGTAGTTGAAATGAAAAAGCAGCAGGTGACATTTCCTTAATGCTTTTATTAGGTTATAATCGTCATTTTCTAAGAAAACTCGGCGTTATTTAGTTGTTTATATATAAAGCCAAAATTTTATATTCAGTACGACATGAAATCAATTTTTTGAATCATGATTATAAGAATATGTGTCATTGATATATTGTGGGTATTTTGTAGTTCTTTGTTAAAGACGATTTTGGATTGAAAACGCTCTACAATAAGGGAAAGGTTACGACTTTCACTTTCTCGGGAGTTCGTCACTCACAATGGTACACCAACCGCACAGTATTCAACGAGGCAATACTGCCATTCTTAACATAGGATGGAGATTATTTGCTCCAGGAGTATGTGCCGGTGAAAATACATCTTTCATCAACCAAAATATCCTCTCAAAATACAGCATACGTTTACAAATTGAAAAGCTTTTAGCCATATTTTGTTCTTTCTAGTTCTAATGTCTCTCTTAGAATACTTTGTGTGTGTGTTTTTGTTTGTATGCGTGAAGTGATTGGTTTCAAATACTAAACAAATACGTGAAAACTACAAGCAAACCCAGACAAGCAAGCCGCGGCATTACATCAGAGCAACAGAGAATCTCGTAGACAGAGGCTCTTGAAGAGGATGACAAGTACTGAACTGGCGACAGGTTACACTCGTGAATGAGGACACTATAAAGGCAGAAGTTGCAGCTTCCAAGGAAGAAATCTTATTCAGAAAATATACGATACTCGCAACATCAGCAACCTTATTGCACACTTGCAATCTTTGTACAATAACAATATTATTTCTGAAAAACATAACGTAGAGCGATCTTAATTGTGAGTGAAAATACAGTAAACCAACTTTTATTCGCGTGCGTGAAATATTCGCGAGTTTCGCGACCAACTTTGCTTTACATTGGTAGAGAACGATTCCTCAGTCGCGAAAATTAATCGTCGCGGATTGATTTTAAACTGACGAATCGCGAATAAAAGATGACGCGAATAATAGTTGGTTTACATTACTGTGAGTGGTGAGCTCATTAAATACCCCCGCTTCCAGTATGATTACATGTACATGTATAATGGCAAAGTTCAATTTTTAATCTGGGAGACCCGAAATAAGTGTCAGATCAAGAAGTATAAATAGGAGTTCAATCTCATTATGTACATGTAATAAACTTTAAGGATCTTTGAAAGTATCATTTAATTTTATTCGGTGGGATAGGAGGAGTTGCGGATAAGAGATGGGTACGCTTCAATATTACAAGAAAATTGCAGTTCGATGGTTTGCTATATGGGAAATCCGAAATATGTTTCCGATCAAAAAATAAAATATGAGGAGCACAATGACACTATGTATCAAAGATCCTATGAAAGTCTCATTAAATTTCATTTAGTGGTATAATAGGAGTTCCTGATGTAAGATGGGTACCCTAAAGCGTAACAGACAGACATACGGACGGACATCCCGATTACTGAGCATTGAGATCATTGGCCTTGAACAAGCTTGAATCCCCTTTACTCAAGAATGCTAAATGTGGCAAGTTTTGTTGAAGTTGGCCCAGTGGTTCTAGAGAAAAAGTCGAAAGTGTGTTAAGTTAACAGTCGGACGACGGACAAAATATGATCATAATACACATGTAACTCACTTTGGCTGAGGTGAGCTAAAAATAGTACATACGTATTTATTAAAACTGTCAAATAAAATTACACTCTTAGTGAACTTCAGTATACAACAGAAGTTGGACCAAAAAATATCAGAGGGAAACTGAACTAAGAAAAGAAGGATTTGCTGCCATAAAATAAAAAAAACTGTTTCAACTTCCTGATGCGAACAAAATTATTTATAGATGTACAAATGTTGTAAACCTAGATCATCTTGGCCGCTTTTTTTTTTTTTTTTTTTTTTTGGCTGACACTGAACTACGTAAAATTTTGATCCACCCTACCCCAGGGGCCATAAATCTTAACAAACTTGATTCTACACTTTGTATCTAAGTTTCAGCATTTCTGGTTAAATGGTTGAAAGGCTGGTTAATTCCCCCTTTAATTTTTTAGTATAGTCAATCAGGGTAATGAGGTAATGTATGAATACAATTTTATTAATTAGGTTGACCCCTACAGCCCTGACGTTTCAACTCTTCTACTGATCGTCGCCATGTTTCCATTTGTTGCCTTCTGTTTCGCTTTTTGTCCCCGTTTTCGATGAAAGTTGGGGATATTCATTTCGGTCTGTCCGTCCGCCTGTCCGTCTGTCTGGAACACCTTCGTTTCCGCAAGATAACTTGAGAAGCCCTGGGCGTTTGCAATGAAATTGTACACGACAACTTCCAATGGCCTAAAGAAGACCTCTAATGATTTGAGGTGATTTATCTTAGAAGCTTTTGCAATGAAATTTTATACAATAAGTCCCTATAGCCCCGTTCGCCCCTCTCAAAGTGCCCCGCCCCGTTTTTTTAAATGGAAAATTTGTTGGCATCGAACACATAGTTTTAGACTTACTCCCACTGGGACGTGGAGATCGGTCCTTCGGGTGAGACCGTATTAACTGAGGTCCCGTGTCGCAGAAAGTGCTGGCATGAAAAGGATCCCTCACTGCTCAATGGCCGAAAGTGGCTAGTATAGGACAAAATTCGTAGCCCTTTAACGGCAAGTGGTAGCGTATCAATATGTGTGAAAAATTCTCGAGAGACGTTATACAACATACAAACAACACTCCCTTAGCATATGAAGGATCCAGGATGATCCCGTTTTTATGCCCCCGTAAACGAAGTTTCGGGGTTAAATAGTTTTTGTCGTGTCCGTCCGTCCGTCTGTCTGTCTGTCTCTCTGTCTAGCTGTCTGTTTGTCCGCAAAAACTTTAACCTTGTCTATAACATTTGATTAAGTGGAGCTATGACTTTCATATTTCACATGTGTATTCCTTGTGACAAGACCTTTCTTTGGGTACCACGAAATTTGACCTTTTGACCTTCACCTTGGAGTTTGACCCACTTTTACACAAAAATTCTTAACTTTTACTTTGGCCATATCTTTTAAACAGTAGATACCACGACCTTTATACTTCATGTATGTATTTTTGTGGCAAGACCTTTTATTGGATACCAACAACCTTGACCTTTTGACCTTGACCATGATGATTTCCGTATTTATGGAAAAACTTTAACATTGGCCATAACTTTTAAACGGTAAGGTATAGGGTTTTCAAACTTCACATATGTAATTCTTGTGAGTTTGACCCATTTTTACACAAAAATCTAACTTTTACTTTGGCCCTAGTTTTTAAACAGTAGATACTAGGAATTTTATATTTCAAATATGAATTTTTTGTGGCAAGGCCTTTCATTTGAAATCAACAATTTTGACCTTTTGACCTTGACCTTGGAGATATCCGTCCTTCGAAAAAACTTTAACCTTGGCCAAAACTTTTAAACGGTAAGGGCTAGAGCTTTAATACTTCACATATGTAATCCTTGTGAGAAGACGCTTCATTGGATATCAACAACATTGACTCTTTGACCTTGACCTTGGAGTTTGACCTACCTTTTACAAACTTTAACCTTGGCCATAACTTTTGAACGGTAAGGGCCAGCGCTTTCACACTTCCCATTTGTAATCTTTGAGACAAGGCATTTTTTTTTTAGAAACCAACCACCTTGATCCTTTGACCTTGACCCCGGGGTTTGTCCTATCTTTAAAAACGTCAACCTTGGTCATAACCTTTGAACAGGTGGTGCTAGGAATTTATATTTCACATTTGTATTTCTTGTGAAAAGGCCTTACTTTAAGTACCAACAAATTTGATCTGCATATGAGAAAGCTTAACCTTCGCTATGTTGCCATACGGGGTCATCTGTGTTTCACAAACATATCTTGTTTTAAAAATGTTTTTATTTCGATTAATTTACTAAATGATAGGCCTATTCACCCTATGAAATGAAGAGGTAATGACATCTAGTGTGTTTATTCTCTTAAAATCAACCTATTAGTCTACACACTTATATTAAGGAATAAGCAACGAAATCGATATCTCTATACTGATATTTTTTTTTATTTGCTCCAGACTTTTAATTAACGTACGCCTCATAAATGCATTTTTCATGTAAATACAAACGTATATTTTTTATTTCCCCTAACTCGAAAAAAATTGACGTAATCCTTATATTTTTTATTCATTTACATGTATTTTTTATTCTGACTCTTAATTATTTATATTGTATGAGAAGATATAAAAGGGGAATAAATAACAATCCATTTATGTGAAAAATATTGAAAAATATAAGATTTTTCGTAATCATCACTTTCAACTAACTTAATGAAATATAGAAATCTATGTGGGGAATGTCCCAATTGTGAATCCTTGATTGACTATGAATCGTGACAATACTCCAGCAGATTCGATAGAATTCAAGTCTTTCGTTTTAATATATAATCCTCCGTCTAAATAACACCCGCTCTTCGGACAAAATGTATTGATAGTACTGCTTAAATATTTAACTTACTTTTAGACAAATTTCAAACAAATTGCACTACTTCTTGAACTATATGTGAAACCGCTTGTGAATAATAATAAAAAATATCTATATGTTTCAAGATGGTGGCACTAAAAATTGTTTTCACATTGTTAAATATTGGACTATTCTTCGGTAAGTACAAATTCTTTGGGTTATTGTCTTGAAATTTCAAAAGTCTCGTCAGTGATATTTTGAAGAGTAAATATTACGACAGTTCATGGACTTTAATTACATTGTGCATATATTTTAATTTGATTAATTAGTTTTATTATCAATCATGGCAAGCATTTTTTTTCTGTCCCTTTTTTATGTGCCAGCAAAGGTAAAAAAAAATTCTAAAAATCAACCGTTGGTTTCAATTCACTATTCTTTTTTAATTATAATTATTAGATCTGTGTGTTGCTGCCTTCACGACGACACGGGCTAGCGACATCCACGCTGAAATCTTCAACTCCTCCTATAATTACTTAGTCAGGCCCTCCGATCTCACCAGCGTCAACATGGAGTTCGTCATCTTCGCCGTCAACCAAGTGGTTCGTATTCTTTAAATCAGCATAACAAATTACTATTATTATACTAAAAGAGACATTTTACGAAAAAGCTACACAGGATGAAAATATTGGACATTTGCGATATAAATACATGTAATTGGGCACATAATTCTGGTTAACGATATTCGGTTAATGATATTCGGATATTGTCATGAATTGCAATTATAAAATTATTGACAAATCTTTGAACATGCTACTTTTTTTATATAATTTAATTACAAGAAAATGTTACAAGTTTTAGAAAACATTAGAATACATGATATCAGAGCAGGCTCACGCATTTACATCCAATGTACTTTTATTTCATATTTTGTATTTGGTTATATTTGCATTTTATTGTCATAATAATGTATTAGTAAACATTGATCCCAAGTTCTAAAACATCAATACGCTCTTTTCGTACATGTATAGAAAAAGTGTAAATTAGTAACGATTAAAAAGTCAGTTAAAGGCATTTAAATAATGAAAGTATAACAGTTCCTTTTATGTTTTATAAATATGGATGTTTGAGTTTTAATATAGGATTGTTAAGCTATAAAACACATAAAAATAATGATGACGTTCATGTATTTGTAATAGAGTAATATTCTTTCTTTTACAACAGGATCTGAAAAACCAAGTTATCTCACTGTCTGGTTGGCTCACAGTCGTACGTATAAATACATGTATACCTTAAACATATTTTTTAATCAATAATTTTCATTGATAAATAAAGTGTATACGTACAGTGGCGCCTCGTTATTCCGGAAGCGAATGATTCGGACGCTTCATCTTACGAACGAAATTTGTTTGCAACAATAATTTTTTTTTCAAGTATATCAAATTCGTTTCAGTAATCCGGATGATTCATTAACCCCGACAATTGTTCGGGAACACAAGCGCACGGATTAGCGAGGCCCGATTGTAATGTTTACATTATATCAGAATTTCGTTTTTATCCCCTCAGAAATGGCAGGATGACCGACTTGTTTGGAATCCGTCATCGTATGGAGACATTGATCTGATTTATACCAAGCCGGCCAAAATCTGGAAGCCAGAACTTATCATCGATAATTCGTAAATATATATACATCTGACATCAATATTTTAAACACCTGACCATCAAGATTAATTTTTTTGTAAGAATAAGTCTTAGATCAAAGCTTTATCATACTCACAAGAACAGTTTGTTCCAAGGCAATATTGTAGAAAATAGAGTATTGCATGTATAATTTTACTTTCCGATAGGGAATCAGTAGTTTTAACTAGCTTTATTTCGATCGCTAAAGAAATTGGTTTATTAAGATTTTATGTCATTTCCTTTTTATCAGAGTTAGTGGCATGGATCCCATCGGCCATGACGATCTGCTATTTCGGGTCAAGAACACCGGCGAAATTCGCTGGGATCCCCCTGGCCTATACGACGTCCACTGTGAAATAGACATCACTTACTTCCCTTTTGATTACCAGACCTGCTACATAGAGGTCGCCAGCTGGGTGTACAGCATGGAGAAAGTCAACTTAACAAAGATTCACGACTACGTCCTTACGGAGGATTACCACGTGAATGGCGAGTGGGACCTAGACTCCACTTTTGTCAAGGAATCCTTCCTCACAGAAGAAGGAGAAATGTTTTCTTCTATAAAATTCGCCCTTGTTTTAAAGAGGCGGGCGGGATATTACATGTCACACATTATATTCCCCGTTCTGATTATCTCGCTGCTAACCAATATCACGTTCCTGTTGCCGGCTGACTCTGGGGAGAAGATCTCCTTTATTTTGACAGTCCTTCTGTCCCTGGCTGTGTTACTGACTCTGATTGGAGACAGTATGCCCACTACGTCACTGCATACATCTATTCTGGGTAAGCGAGCAGAACACCACTTTCTGTTTGCGAAAGCGAAAGTACAATATCAAAATAACAAAATACAGTACTTATCAATCTTTTTTTCTTTGCAGCCGTGTATCTATCGTTGGTATTAGCTGTGTCAGGAGTTGTGATTTTGCTAACAGTCCTAAATCTACGACTTTACCTCCGAGTCGACCAGAAAAACATACCGAACTGGCTCAAAAGGTTCACCATTCGGGTCCTAATTCCTTTTTCTTGTCAATGCTCAAAGGTTAAGGATAGTTCAAAGGTCGAGGTCATCAGACAGAATACAAATATGGTTCAAGTTACTGATCTAGACCACGCAGATGTCGTCACGGTGGAGAACGGTCAGAAGAAGAAAAAGACATTGAAACGAATGAGTCAGAAGAAGGCAGAAATTCCGGAACAAGACTTCCCATCCTCGGAAATAGACGATGATTTTCCTTATCTCTGTCGAGATATTTCTGGTTTTCTCGATTGTTTCTTTTTTCATCTCTTTAATGTGATTATTATCGTCCTGACCGGGATTTTCTTGGCCATACTTTTATTTGGTTCAAAGCCACACACTTCACATTAGTTAAAAGCATGTGCACAAATCTGAAGCTGATTTGTTTGTTTACTTTAACTTTGCGGTCTCATCCGAAGGACCGGTAGGAAAACTGGAACAGTTGGATGCGAACCCGCGATGTAAGGATCCTTAATCCATATAACTCTAAAGCAAACACTTATATATAACTACTGTACTACGCAGGCGACTGAACCTGATTTGGAGATAATATATCTTTTTTCGAAATTTTCTTGAAAAGTTCCACGACTTACAGACATTTTATTTCTACGAGCATTTAATTAAGAAGGATACATAATAAACACGTGCTTAATTACCCCTCTTTTTTAAATCTTAAAATTTTGGGTGTGTGTGATTGTCATACATCCTAGCATTTTCATGCATGAACTAATATGAGAATTTAAAGTTCTGAAAAACAGCGTGCTTCGCCCCTGGATGTACAACAAGATGATGACATTGAAGTGCAATAAAGTTTATAAATGTTCGATGAGTCAAGGACATGAGACAACAGGCACACCTCCACCCACACTTTTTTCCAAATATATTTTACAATAGAAAATGTTCATTGAAAGCCCCCCTCCAGTTTTGGTTGCATTACTCTCAAATAAGCTTATTATAAGGGTAATGTATTTTTGCCCCCTCCCCCTTTCAAAAAAAAACGATACTACGTACGTCACTGGACAAGAAGATGAACAAGCAAATCCAAAGAATTGTGGTCCCCCGCTTTCGATGTTTTTGTGGGTGAGATGACATTTTATTTTATTTTTTGACATATTGTGTCAAATATGAACGCCCTATCATATGTCATTTAGAAATTATCAAAAAAGTTAATTTTTTTAAATAATGTCAATTGTGAATGTCAAGGTCAAGGGGTCAGAAATCATAGCATGTTCGGAAATATCTTGTCACAGGTAAGGCACATGTCAAATATGAAATCCCCAATTCTTCTCAATCAAAAGTTATAAGGAACAAGATGTGTTTGTGAAACACTGATGACCCGTATGGCAACATAGCGAAGATTCAACTTTTCTTAAATGCAAATTGAATATTGCTACCCCCAAACAGTGACTTCTCATAAGAAAAACGATTGTGAAATGTGAAATCCCTAGCACCACCTTTTCAAAAGTTATGGCCAAGGAAAAGTGTTTGAAAGGTAGATCAAACTCTAAGGTCAAAGGGTCAAAGTTGTTGGTTTCTTAAGAAAGGTCTTGTCACGTGTATTCCATATTTAAAGTATGAAAGCCCTAGCCCTACCTGTTCAAACGTTATGGCCAAAGTTAAAGTTTTAAAAAAGTAGGTCAAACTCCAAGGTCAATGTCAAAATGTCAAAGTTCATGATAACCAATGAAAGGTCTTGTCACAAGTATTACATATATGTGAAGTATGAAAGCCCGAGCCTCTTCCGTTCAAAGGTTATGGCCAAGTTTAACGTTTTTCATAGGTGCAGAAATCCGGAAGGTCAAGGTCAAAGATGTTGGTAGCAAATGGAAGGTCTTGCCCTAAAGAATACATATATGAAAAATCAAAGTCCTGATATCTATCGTTCAAAAGTTATGGCCAAAGTAAAAGTTTGGAATTTTTGTGAAAAAGTGGGTCAAACTCCAACGTCAAGGTCAAATTTGGTGGTACCCAAAGAAAGGTCTTGTCACAAGGAAAACACATGTCAAATATGAAAGTCATAACTCCACTAAATCAAAAGTTATGGGCAAGGTTAAAATTTTTGTGACGTACAGACAGACTGACGGACGGACAGACAAATGAGATTTAATGTCCCCTCGTTTTTGCGAAAGCGGGGAACAATTATTGAACTTGCTGTGCAAAGTGACAAACCATGAAAACAATTTGAACGTGCATACTATATGTACGGACATCCGAATATACTGTACATATAGTATTTGGCACCTACATGTACATTCCATGCCGAGAACGTGTGTCTATTGCAAGTCTGTATCAGAAAAATTGAATAAGAATAATGAAAAATTAATTAAAATAAAATCTTCCATTTTAATCGTATATACTAAATGTAGAGTTCTAAGAAGGTTGTGTTCCCATTTCGCCTTAACTGTGAAATACAAGTAGGAAAAAGTTAAAAGTACTAAGGCGAAATGGGAATTATAGTATTTATGAATATTCTTATTTTGTAATTTTTAGATTGAATTTAACAGTTAATGGAAATTAATGAATGCAGTGAATGAAATAATATACATGTAATACCAAGTATTTTTTTTAAAAATACTTTATACTAAATATATTAGATCTTCATCACCTTAATTCATCTCAGAACTTACTAAGGCGAAATGGGAATGCTAAATTTCACAGTTAAGGCGAGATGGGAACAAATCCTAAGAAGCACTGACTTTAATCAGATTGAATACTTATGAAACTAAAAAGGAAAATAAAAAAATCTTCAAGTATTTCAGACAATGTGTTTAAAAAAAATTTTCAATGAGGACATTTGGGTGTCGGAGGTTATTATTTAGGTCTAATCAGAAATTGGATGGTTACTAGATGTAAACTGATACATGTAGGTAGCGCTTTGACGAAACATCCATTTGCAAATGAGAGCTTTTGGTTACCTGACAGAAAGCGCATTGCGTAAAAAATTGGGAATTTGTTATGTTGTGACGCATTGCTAAAAAAATTAATTAGCTAAATGATTTCTTTGCTGAAATATATATGTATAATATTGATCAGGTTTGATAAAACCATACCAGTTTCAAAAACCTAATTAAAATAAGATATGCTTTTAATCCGCTCATGTAGACCCAATTCAAATGAAAAAAAAATAAATTGAATTGGATTTTTCATTCATTTTAAGTCAGAGATGTCCTAGAATGAAAAGAATTGTTTTTAAAGACAGGAGAGTAAATGCTGAACTTGCAGAACATAAAATGATATAATTAGCATGCATTAAGGTCAATCTATTCTCGGCTAAGAGAGATAACCCTCACAAGGGATAAAGGCAATTATAACCATAAAAATTCATGTCACAAGTAAAAAGTCAAGTTCTGTTAAATTAAGTTTATGATCTTTGGCTTATCAAGTAACTATGAAAATAGAAATAACTAATGTTTTATTTATTATAAACATTGACCTATAAGATATAATATATCTAAATGTAAAGGGACGAACATATTACCGTCATAAGTTTAAAAAAAAATCTATTTGCTATTTTTTTCCGCAAAACTCTCGTAATATTTGATGAATTATAGGAACCTTTAAAATAAGTTGAATTTATTTCCCATGCCCTTGTCAAGAAAATTTTATCATTCAGTTATTACTAACCATATAAACCTAAATGGGTCCACCTAATTTGACTAACTTCTGCGATTATATCTTTCCTGATTCAGAAAAACTATATATCTAAATCTTTCAGTATGACCTTGTTATCTTTTTTTCTTTCTTCTTTCCCTTGACGGCATCTTCACAAGGTTTGTACAGATGGGTCGCAGAAGTTCGGGCTCAATGTACGAGAAATCGGGTTCAAAATTCAAAACAGGTTTGTTCCAATATGGCGGCATTTTTGAGAGTCTTCGTTTGACTTTACATCTAATGATCCTTATGCGTAGACTTTACTTTGTATTCATTGCACAAACGCTTTAGTTTGTTCTTTAGTGCCATAATTTATTAATTATATGAGGTGATTGTTTGTGGATAAGCAGGTAAGAAAAATTTTAAAAAAAAATCCTTAAACTTCATTTTGCTCTTGAACAGGTCTGTGTTCCCATTTCCAATACAAGTAGGAAAAAGTTAAAAGTACTAACCATAGAACTGTTTTATATATTCTTATTTTGTAATTTTTATATTTAACATAATGGAAATTACATGTACCTATTTATACCTTATCCAGGTAGCTATTTTTACCTACTTTTTAAATATATTTGTCTTTTGTGCTCCTGAAATTTGGGTGAAAATGGGAATGCTAAATTTCACAGTTAAGGCGAGATGGGACCCAAATCCTAAGAAGCACTGACTTTAATCAGATTGAATACTTATGAAACTAAAAAGGAAAAACAAAAATGGATTTCCAAATGGAAACAAATGGAAATCAAATGGAATATTAAATCAGAAATTATGGTTACTTTAAGGTCATGTAAAGAGACGTTTTTGCAAAATCTGTTTTGTATATCTGACAGAAAGCGCATTGCGTAAAAAATTGGGAATTTGTTATGTTGTGACGCATTCAGGCAACCTTGGTATGATTTCTTTGCTGAAATATATATGTATAATATTGATCAGGTTTGATAAAACCAAATAAAATATAAAAATTGAAACAAAACTTTATGTGCAATTCTTTAAAATTTGTTAAAAAAATTAATAGAATTGTGTTTTTGTATTTTAAAAAATGTAAAAAAGACATTTTTGGAATTTAAATGATGTCTTCTAGAACATAAAATGATATTATTAGACAATTAAAAATATAAGCAGAGATAGACATGCTGAATGCTAAAGTTTATAACCATAAAAATTCATGTCACTAAAAAGTGCCATGAAGGCCTTAATATATAGGCTTATCAAATAACTATGAAAATAGAAATAACTAATGTTTTATTTATTATAAACATTGACCTATAAGATATAATATATCTAAATGTAAAGGGCTGTCTAGCATAAGTTTAAAAAAAAATCTATTTGCTATTTTTCAGAAAGTTGTTGTAATATTTGATGAATTATAAGAACCTTTAAGATGTTACAATGATGATTATTACTCTTTATATTTAAGGTGATTGTTGACTAAGATGGCATCTTTTACATTTCACATAATACTTTATTAAAGACTTTTAGTAAAACTTGCATCAGCTGACTGATGGAACGAAGATTTGGCAGGAGAAAAAATCTTCGCGGCTGCAATTTGAACATGTTGAATGGGTTGGTTTTGTTACAGGAAAATTTAGTTTGTTCAAGGTTATGAAGTTTAGTTTAAAATAGTTTTTAAAAAAACATCATTTTTATTAAAAATTCCCAACTTGTCCCAGGTCGTCATGTACCTATTTAAACCTTATCCAGGTAGCTATGTTTACCTACTTTTTGCTTTATTTGTCTTTTGTGCTCCTGAAATTTGGGTGAAAATCAGCGTCGATTTACCCAAATGGAAATCAAATGGACCCAAATGGAAACACAAATGGACCCTAATGGAAATCAAATGGAATATTAAATATGTATTATCGTATTTTAAGGTCAGAAGAGACGTTCCTCAAAATCTGTTTTGTATATCTTCGTAATATATGAAAAATATTCAACATTTTGATAACATTCTGATTTCTAAACCAGTTTCTAAATGTTTTTAAAAAAATCCAAACACTTAAACATTTGAAAATGGAAAAGGACAATATAAGAAAAACTACCCCTGGTATCTTGCAGAAATGCCTGGTAAGGTACCTCAATTTTTTGTGAGTAAACATGTTTAAATAGCAATACTTCAATGACAAACTCCTAGAAAAATTTATCTATTATTAAGGAACGTCTCGTCTGTCCTTAATACTTATTTAAATGATGAAAATAAATGAACTTACAGTTACACATGATTTTTTAAAGATTATTAATCTCTAATAATGTATTTTGAAACATGAATTTTTTATAGTATTCTATATACCGGCAAAATTATTTGGGGGTAGGGGTGGGTGGGGGGTGGCATGTCCCCCCCCTCCCCCATCTGTTCCTATGGCCATAAAAATATCAAATACTTTAGTTTTGTATTCAAGTATGTTCAATCGTTATTACAAATAGAATTAAATCGCATTTTTAAAAATACACTTGAAGAAAATAATGATATTAAAATACTCTCTTTTTGTTTCAATTTCATTATTTTCTATATTTTAAATAAGTAAAATCTTGAGAATACGATATAATATATATATTTTATATTCTATTTGGCTCCATTTGATTTCCATGTGGGTCCATTTGAGTTTCCATTTTGGTCCATTTGGGTCCATTTGGGTAAATCGACGCACCCGTGAAAATATGGTTCGCGGTTTATAAAGCGTAAACTGCCCCAAGTTATGTTATGGTTTTATATGTCTCTGATAAGATTGAACCTCTCACTTGATTTTTCGTCAATATTTTGTTCACTTTTATGATGAACAATGTACCATATTTTCACGGGTGCGTCGATTTACCCAAATGGACCCAAATGGAACCCAAATGGAAACTCAAATGGTTTTATATGTCTCTGATCTTATTAATTAATTTCAAATCAACACGCAAGAGCACCATTGCATGCAGTGTTAAAAAAAAAAACTTTTTCAGCTTTATAAATTTTAGCAATCCCTGAGGTCAATGCTGGAGTTGGTAAAAAGACTTCCATAGTACATTGTTAAATGCAAGAGTCTGGTCATCTTAAAATCATCTGCATTAAATAAATATTAATAATGCTAAAATTATTTCTCTTAGTTTGTGTTAGAATGAACAATGCTTATGCCTAAGCAGAGAAAAAGTCAGAGCTTAGATTTCGTGTTGCTGTCACAAAGTTACTCTGATTCTTGTGAATGTCGTTTCCTCTTTGAAACATCTCTAATTTCTATTGTCAAAATTTTAACTAATTACAGTTGGAAAAAAACCTCAATAATGATCGTATAAAAAATAAACGGTGGCAAAAATTTCCCTGTATACAGTATCATCAAATAAGCCTTTTTGTGAATTTTAATAATTAGCTGACGCTTCATGTATTAATTTTAGTATATTTCTTTTCAATGTATGCAGTGAGGCATTGGAATCTAGAAGAAATACACCATGTCAGTCAAACAAGAAGATGATATTGCCAAACGACTTCATACTTGGACTGTCCAGGAGATGCTGTTCAGCCCCCAAGGAGTCCATGCCAACACCCCCATTCCTACAGCTGAAAACTTCAAAGAGTAAGTCACTCTTTTTAGCTAATCTGTGAAAATATATGGTCTACCTTGTATCTAATGGTAACAGTAACTAAAAACATCTTTAAACTGGTATTCTGTTAAGTTTGTTATGTGCCTTAAATTTGTTTCTGGCAATAATAAATTTGATTTCTGAAAAAGAGTGGGTTCAGCTGTTGATATTACCTAATATTTACAGAGTTGGTATTATAAAATAAAACGACAGTAGCTCTGATTTGAAAATGTTGAACTCAATCTGTATAAAATTGATAAAATGTAGTGTTTTAAGATGAGTACAGAGAAATGACTGGTAAAACTAACATGGTTCTGATTTCTGTTTAGGATTTGTAAAGGGCCACAGAAAGACATCTGGAAGTTTATAATAGAAAATGTTCACTCTGCACAGTAAGTTTATCAGCTGCCTTAATGAAATGCATTATACTGAATAGAAAATTAACCACTTAATATATATCAAGTTATCTTACCAATGATTATTTTATTCCTTGCTATCATGAAGGAAAATAAAAAGGATATGATACATTGTAATGCACATTATGTCTCAATAATATTTTTTTTTTATTTTATAGGACTGTAAGAAAAGTGAAAGGCAATATTGCATTGTATCCTTTTCTATCTTGGAAATCAGTATTATCATACAACATGAAAATATAAGTTGTATTTAAAAAAAATTGTATGATACATGTATCTGAAACACTGCATTTAGAACTATAAACTTGACTGCAGACAAAACATGCCATTTATCTTTTTATAAATGGTATGATTAAATAATGCAAAAGACAGAACTCTCAGATATAATACTTAACAAATGAAAAGAAAGGGGGCAAAACCAAAACAATACAAAGTCAAGTACAAGTCTGAGGAAAAACTGGATGAGCCAAGACAAAGTCTCCTAGATAGGAGAGTTCAATTTACAGGGGAGATCACTGCAGCTCTGAAAGACATCTCTCACTTGGAGAATGACCTCTGTAGAATGGAGCAGGAAATTCTGGACACTGGTCAGTATATGTAAATTTATGTAATCCTGGACAAGAGGCAGTATTTGTAAATCATTTTCTAATCAGATGTTTAATTTTTTATATTGCCTCTCAATGACAAAGTCAGCCTTTTGGAATTAATATGTATGGGGAAAAAATGAATTTTAATCTTTTATTTGAACAGATAAGGATTGTCAAATGAAAACAGACTTGGTTTCAAACACCAGGAGGAAGTGTGCCCTACTGAAGACTTACTCATCACAGTGTGATAGGATGGCCAGGGAGTTCGAGGAATACACAAATCAAATGACAAAAAAGATGACTGTTATCACTAAAAGAGCCAAGTACGTAAATTGAAATTTTCCTATTTTTGGTTAAATTTTTCTTGTTCATAATTACTTGAAACTGTGATTTTAAAGTTTAAAAAAAGAGAAAAACTATTCTCCCTTGTTGTTTCATTTTACAATACTTAATAAATGAGCTGCTAAGAAAGGTAAATGAAAATTCTTCAGTTGTGTAGGTTTGGCATGTAAGATAAACTTGATCTTTGTATGTCAGGAAAACCACAGAAGATGAGGAATACTATTCCCGTAAGAAGAGCTCTACTGACGATGATCAGAGTGGACTGTCCTCAGGTCTGGAGAGTAAATGTAGTGTGAGTATGAGGAACTAAGGATTAAACAGTTCCATGTAAATTCATCCGTACAGTCTTTTCAATAAACGATGAACATTCTTCAATACCAGTAGTTTTTGGCTCACTGAGACATATTTAGAGCTTAATATATATCATCATCCTTAGCATTACAAAGTATTCTGTGCATTTTTAGCTCACCTCAACGAAGTTTGGGGAGCTTATGTAATACCCTCGGCGTCGGTGTCGGCGTCGGTCTCGGCGTCGGCGTCCCAGGTTAAGGTTAAGTTTTTTGGAGCAGTTTTCTTTTTAAGTACTTCTATGTCCTATATTGATTAGACATGCATGGAAGATGGTTATAGTGTGTTTCATTGTACCAGTCAAAGTTTCAGATGCTGCAATTTCTGCAAAGGAATGACCAGGTTAATGTTTTTGGAGCAGGTTAACATTTTTGGTGCAGTTTTTGGTGTAGGTTTCATTTCCAAGTAACTATAATCCCCATGTTGACCAAACTTGCATGGATGATACATCTAAGGATGGATACTACCGGGCTTGCTTCGGATGCTGAATCTGACCTACATTTTCCGGTTGAGTGAACAGGTTTAAGTTTTTGGTGCAGGTTTCATTTCCAAGTAACTATAAGCCCTACGTTGACCAAACTTGTATGGATGATACATCTAAGGATGCATACTACCGGGCTTGCTTCAGATGCTGAATCTGACCTACATTTTCCGGTTGAGTGAACAGGTTTAAGTTTTTGGTGCAGGTCTCATTTCCAAGTAACTATAAGCCCTACGTTGACCAAACTTGCATGGATGATACATCTAAGGATGGATACTACCGGGCTTGCTTCGGATGCTGAATCTGACCTACATTTTCCGGTAGAGTGAACAGGTTAAAGTTTTTGGTGCAGGTCTCATTTCCAAGTAACTATAAGCCCTATGTTGACCAAACTTGCATGGATGATACATCTAAGGATGCATACTACCGGGCTTGCTTCGGATGCTGAATCTGACCTACATTTTCCGGTTGAGTGAACAGGTTAAAGTTTTTGGTGTAGGTTTCATTTCCAAGTAACTATGAAACCTATGTTGACCAAATTTGCATGGATGATACATCTAAGGATGCATACTACCGGGCTTGCTTCGGATGCTGAATCTGACCTACATTTTGCGGTTGAGTGAACAGGTTAAAGTTTTTGGTGTAGGTTTCATTTCCAAGTAACTTTTAGCCCTATGTTGACCAAACTTGCATGGATGATACATCTAAGGATGTGCACTACCGGGCTTGCTTCGGATGCTGAATCTGACCTACATTTTGCGGTTGAGTGAACAGGTTAAAGTGTTCATCAAGAGATGAAAATTCTCAAATTTGCTTCAGATGCTGGATTTTGATTACATTTTCATGAAGAAGAACTAGTTTAAATTGTTTATGTAGGTCTATTTCAAAGTATCAGGTCAAAATTGCTTAAATATTTTCATTTTTGGAATGTACACTTTTTGTCGATTAATTGTGTGACTTTGCCTTACTTAAAGACAACATTCGTTGAGGTGAGCTCTGTGATCTCTGATTACCTATGTTTAGCTCTTCTGAGCCAAAGGCTCAAAGAGATAATGCTATGGCCATTTGTGCGGTGTGCGGTGTGCGTTAACTTTTTAGAATATGGGCCATAACTCAAGAACCCCTTGGCCAATTATTGTCAAATTTGCCACAGAGTATCCTTGGCCCAAGGGCTACCATTTATACTAAAATTAGGGGTTGGACCTTAAAACAAGGGGAGATAATCACGAAAATAAAACCAAAAGTACTGGTTGCTAAAAAATCTTTTTCTCCAGAACCACCAGGCAGATTTTCACCAAACTTACATACAAGGGTCGAGATATGTTGAAGATTAAAAATTGTTCAAGGCATGACCCTGGGGCAAAGGGCGTGGTCTCAAGGTCACTTCAAAGTTGACCAAAATTTACACTTATTAAAAACGTTGATATTTTGCTTACTATTAAGACTAGGATCATCAAATCTTGTAAGTTGATGCATCTCAGGACTTGACATCATGTTAATACAAAAGTAGGTCATGGTGACCTACTTTTTAAATTTTACGGGCTTTTGTTTTCAAATTGATTTGGAGGCATATTTTGAACACTTTAAGGCGTATGATCATAAAACTTTGTCAGTTGGTGCATCTTGGGTCCACAAACAACATCAACTTAAAAGTAGGTCATCGTGACCTACTTTTTGAATTTTATGGCTAATCTTTTCTAAAACATTTAATCCCATTATTTCAGACACGGAGAGGTTTAGAATCACCAAATCTTGTGAGTTGATGCATCTAGAGGCCTTAAAACATATTTACCAAAAAGTAGGTCACTGTGACCTACTTTTTTAACTTTGCAAGCATTTGTTTTCAAATTGTTTTAAAAGGCATATTTCGAATACTATTAGACCTATGATCATAAAATTTTGTCAGTTGATGCATCTTTGGTCATCAGAAAATGTCGACCAAAAAGTAGGTCACTATGACCTACTTCAGACATTTTATTGCTAGATTTAAGTATCTCGGGTACCAATTGGATTAGAATCATTAAAATTTGTCAGTTGATGCATCTTGGGTTTTCGGAGACTAACGACCAAAAAGTAGGTCACAGTGACCTACTTTTGACATTTTATGGCTATATTTTAGTATCTCAGGTACTTATTGGCTTAGAATCATCAAACTTTGTTATGCGATGCATCTTGGGTTTTCGGGGCATGTCGACCAAAAAGTAGGTCACAGTGACCTATTTTTGACATTTTATGGCTAGTTTTATGTATCTCAGGTACTAATTGGTTTAGAATCATCAAATTTTGTCATTTGATGAATCTTAGGTTTTAGTAGCATGTTGACCAAAAAGTAGGTCACTGTGACCTACTTTCGACATTTTATGGCTAGATTTAAGTATCCCGGGTACCAATTGGATTAGAATCATTAAAATTTGTCAGTTGATGCATCTTGGGTTTTTGGAGACTAACGACCAAAAAGTAGGTCACAGTGACCTACTTTTGACATTTTATGGCTATATTTTAGTATCTCAGGTACTTGTTGGCTTAGAATCAACAAACTTTGCCATTCGATGCATCTTGGGTTTTCGGGTTTTCGGAGAATGTCGACCAAAAAGTAGGTCAAAAAGTAGGTCACAGTGACCTACTTTTGTCATTTTATGGCTATATTGAGGTATTTCGGGTACTTATTGGTTTAAAATCATCAAACTTTGTTATTGATGCATCTTGGGTTCTCGGAGAATGATGATCAAAATATAGGTCACTGTGACCTACTTATGACATTAATTTATGGCTATATTTAAGTATTCTAGGGTACTTATTGGCTTAGAATTGTCAAACTTTGTCAGTTTATGCACCTTGGGTTTTCGAAGAATGTTGACCAATAAGTAGGTCACTGTGACCCACTTTTGAATATTTCAAGTACTTATTGGCTTAGAATCATCAATCTTTGTCAATTAATGCATCTTGTGTCCTCAGAAAATTTCAATCAAAAAGTAGGTCACCATGACCTACTTATAGTATTTTATAGTTAAATTTAAATATCTTCAGCCCTTACTAGCTAAGAATCATCAAACTTTGTCAGTTGATGCATCTTGGGTCTTAGTATAGATTGTATAATTTATCAGAAGAGCGATTCAAGGCCCTTGGGCCTCTTGTTTATTTTCCAAGAATCTATGAGCCCTACATGACTTAACTTTTATATGAAATGTAAATAGGAATGCACACTTTCAGAATTGCTGCAGATGCTGCATCTGACCTATATTTTCTTGACAATCTGCCAAGCAGCAGACCTGAGCTCAAGTGACCAGACTTTAAATGCCCTTTGAGTTGCATATACCTGTAAATCACATTTACAATCACTGCTTAATAAGATGCTGTATTGATGTACAATAAATTGTTCATGGAAAGTAATTAATGGAGAACTTATTAGTATTGGACAGGTAAACAAAACCCATAAAGATTAACATGTATTGACAAATTAACTTTCTTAGAGAGATGTAAGAAAGACATGTGAATATATTGGGAAATTCCTTCTTGGTGCCTTGCAGGGAGAATTTGGTACAGATAAAAATGTTTTGTAAGTATCAACATATATATTATTTGAATTTTTTTATCAAATATAATGGCTTAAAAATCTTTTTAAAAATAAGTCAGTTTGTCACGCATCCATTTTTGCTTGTGATATTTGTTGCCATTTTTGAAATTTCACTACTATTTACTTCATACAAAATATTTGTATGTATCTTAAGTTTTATTCTTGGGAAATATTATATTTCTTGTGTTTTAATTTACAAAAGTTCAAAAATGTCACAACTAGTGACCAACCTCTTAAGGTTAAAATTCAGTTGAATTTCACAAATGATTCTAAACCAGTAAAAAAAATTCATTTACTCATGCATTAAATGTTCATGATGTGCATTTTTTTTTTTTACAAAAGTTTAGAACTCATGTTATAGCACTGAAGTCAAAGGGTGTTATACATGCATGTATATGACCTATACCACTAACCAGTAGAAATGAAGACCTAATATCTAAAATATTTTTTTCCAGTCATCAGAAGAAGCAGTTACTGTGGAAGTATATGGAGGAAACATTTTCTGACCACTCTGTGCAGCAGATTTATAATGCCTTAGTTACCAATACCCAGAATGCAGCATTCAACATGAGAGACCAGGCTTCAAAAGTTGACATTAGAAAAGATGCTGAAAAACTAAGGTAGATTTTGATGGTTTATTGTAATCAAAAAAAAATCTAACAAAGTACGTTGTTATTTGGGAAACAAGTACTTACAGATTGATACAATGTACCAATGTATAAATCAGATTGAAAAATGTTAAAAAAGAATATCAACTACCACTTCACCATGTTCCTTAATTAAGTGAGTTTGATGTTTCAGATTTAAGTATGAGAATTCTGGGGAGCTGACAGACCTTTCTAAATCTCCCTCATTGCTACAGAGTGTTCATCAGCTGCTGGAGGTAAAGTGTCACGGGTCTCAATATTCTGTATCGTAAATCGGTCCTTCATGAATCTAAGTAAACTTTTAAGTTCTAATGAGTGAAAAGTATACTGTGGCAAAAGAGAATAGTATACAGTTGTTTGGCCAGTTCCGAATAAGAAACCGATTCGGCTGAACTATAAATATACTAGACATTATTTCAAAATTTAAGTGTTTTGTCAAGGTAGTTCGAAGACTTGTGGAATCAAATATTGTTTCATAAAAAATTATCCTGCCTTTAAAAAAATTTATTTCTCAAGTTACCATAGGTGTCATTTTTACCAGTTACGAATAAGCCGACGAGTTCCGGATAGCCCAGAGATTCTTATTCAATTCAACCCTAAATTAAAAAATATACGTCCCGGATGTTATCCATTGGCATGCCTAAGAAAAGTTAAATTAATTTCTTACCAATATATCATTTATATTTCCAAAGGTTGAAGAGAAACTAGAGGTACTATGGGCACTGAGCTCATTTTAATGATACCCCACACCTTCTTTATGATTATTTAAGACAAATTCCATGTTTTGCTCTGGGAGACCCGAAATTAGTGTCAGACCAAAAAGCAAAATTAAAGTTCATGTCACAATGAAATCAAGAATCTGTGAAAGTATCATGAAATATTATTCAGTGGTATAGGAGAAATTGAGGATTAGAGATGGATAAACCTTTCAATTACAAAGAGTGGCTATATCTATGTTTTTACTCAGGGAGCCAAAATTATGTGCCTGATCCAAAAATAAAATAGTTTTTCTTTGGCACTGTTAAACAAAGATTCATTACAAACTCATTAAATTCTGTGAAGCTATATTAAACTTCATTCAGTGGTAGAAGAGGGGTTGCGGATAAGAAATGGATATCTTAGAGCATATCAGACGGACGGACGTACAGCTAGACGCACGGAAAGACATAAAGATGGGTGGATGGACAAACATTCCTTTACTATATATACCCCATTCTTCCTGTTTTACAAGCGGGGATATAATAAATCAGGCTAACAATAAAGAAAACAACGAAGAGTGAATTTATAAAAGTGTTTAAAATGGGTATTCGGAACTGGTAAAATAAGAAGACGAAAATATTTCGATATCTACCAGTGTTCTAAATATTTATTATTGACAAGTTTTTAGTATATGTAAGAGTACATATCAAACTTAATTTTGATACCTGGAACGTAGTTTTATGTGCAAAATTTATAAATCTACAGAGGTTTTTCTTCAGACTTGCGCGTCGCGGTGATTCACGTTTGTTGCGTTGTAAAAGTATGTCGACTGTTTCGAGTACCATTACGAAACCAAACCGAGGGTAAAAAAATCAAAACTTCGCATAATTTAAACACTAATAAATAAGCCTTCTTACCATAGAAACAATTTATTTTTACACCGTTGAATTTATTAATTATCAGTCCTTACATTACTAATTATTCGGAACTGGCCAAAGTCCGGAACTGGCCAAACGACTGTACATGTGTACAGACTGTAAACAGAAAAGTATGTTTTACAGATGTCAGTTGGGTGTTTCATGAACAATGAAGTCAAATTCAGAATACCAAATAAAGTATAAAGTAATGAAATGTTATTGAAATGAAGTTTAGTCTCACTTGTTTCATTGAATTAATTACCTACAAATGCTTTTTGTTTTTTTCACAGGAAAACCGAATGAATCAAGTAAAAAGATTCATAGAAACAGAGAAATATTTAAACAGTGCATGGAGAAATAATCAACAGCTAGAGGAATTAAACACAAAGATAGACAGTCATCTGAAGAAAATGTTCCGAAATTCCGGAGATCTTAATCTTGCAAGGTTTGTTCACCATAAGGTGCCAGAACACGCACAGTAGGCACTGTTTAGTACTTTTTGTTTCAAGGTAACTTAGACAATTGCTTAAAGATCTTTTTGATTAGTTTGAGAAATGAAAACATATTCAATTTTGTGGTTGACATACTTTGGCTCCCTTTACCTTGATTCCACTACTTGAAGTATACACTGATACATGATTTTAAAAAAATACATATGGAAGCTTTGAAGCAAATATGCTAATTTTTGATAACACTTGTCGGCTGATAAAGAAGATTGCACAATTTTTTGAATGCATTTGTTTATTAATTACACCATGATCTATAATTATGTACATAAGTAACACCAAATTGTGTGATCTCTTATGAAAGAGTTTTTAAAATATTGATTAAAAAACTGAAATGTTCTTTAATTATCTATTGACAGGAGTTTGATAGATTTAGAGGTGGACCTAGCAGCAAACCGAGCCAAACTTCAATGTTTATCACAAGAGGCGACGCTATTACGTGAAAATATTGCAGATGCATTGAGGGAGAAGGAAATTCTTTTTGTGAAATATCATAAAATACAAGATTTTAAAGAAATAGCGGTAAGAAAACGGATTCAGATAATGGATTTAATTTCACAAATACTCTGCAGTTTGTGTCCATCCAGAGACATAGCTGCTTGAGTGTTTGGATATGTAATTCTCAGGGTTGTCCCTATGACCTAGGGGCCGGGGAATTTCCCCGCCTATAATGATGTAATTCCCCTGTTATTTTGGTATTCCTCCTAAACTCCCAATAAAAGGAGAACCCAAGACCCCCTTCTACTTTTTAAACACCCCCTTCTTTTCAAATTCCTGAAACAACCCTGAATCCTGTATCCAGATTAGAGAGTCAAAACAGAATTATATATAGATGAAGAAGTTGCAGTAATGTTGAAATTAATCTTTTTGTTACAGAACAAGAAGCAAGAATTGATCCAAGTCATTGTCAGACAAAACATGAATGCAAAATCACGCCTAGAATCTCAAAGGGACGAGGTAGGATAGTCTAGTGCAAATACTTGTGCATCATCTTTTACCATAAATAAAGTAAGAAAATCCTTAGGATATGATTTAAGCTCATCTGAGCCTTAGGTTTTTGATTAAATTCCCTGTGATCTAAGGTTTGGGCCAAAGATTTTTTTCATATGATTATCATTATTATTTTTTGCAAAAGGACTTAGTCATGAAACTTTTCTTAAATTTGGTTGAGGTCAATAAAGTGAATTCATTGTTAGCTCTTGGCCATATACATGTACTTAAATAGCACAAAACTTGATATTTTAGATTTTTGTTGAAGAATATACAAAAATGAGCATTTATCAATGTTAACTACAGAATATATAAAAATGAGTATGAATCAAATTTTTTAAATTAAGATATTGAAGTACATAGAGAAGTCATCAGAGAGTCATCCTATGGAGACAAAGCTTCTGAGAGATGACCTTCATGGATTTGTAAATAAAGAGGTGGAGAAGTTCTCTACCCTGGATGTCCCTCAGCTGTTGTTCTGTGATTCCTCCGACAGGTCAGTCAGAACTAGGATTGGTCATTTTTATTGCCTTCCAGGCCTTCATATAATTTTATTTTAAAATTTTTAGTTTCAAACTTTTTTTTGTGTCGGTAACCTCAAGAAACTTGATATAACACCAATTCAAGTGTAAAAACTAGATGACAAAATGGATATAAATTTATACTTTTGATCATTCTTATTTCAAAATTTAAATTATTTTTCTTGCATTGTAATGTTAATCTTACAATCAGTCAGTCATTTTAGCTAGTATGCATTGTTTACTCTTTAATTCAAGTCAGAAAATTTTTTAAAATTATATTATATTTTCCTTGGTTCTGAAAACTGAACTGATTATGAATTTATGATAATGATTGTTCTCTACAGGGCATTAAAAATAGCAGTCAGTGACATGTCCATCTACCAGACCAGTCCACACACAGCCAGGGAATCCATCCATCACATTCTCCAACATCTGGGATTCAGGCGTTATCAGGTTAAATCAACATTTACCATGAATTGTCTTTTACTTGCGTGAGATCAACGCTCTTATGACATTATTCTTGGTCTCTGTGCAGAAGTGTTTCAATATTTGTTGACAAATTCAGTCTCGCTCATGACTCTTACAGTAAAACAATATATATAGCCTGATACTAGTATATGACCAGGGATGATATGACCTTAAAGCAAGGTTTATTGAACAAACTAAAGGTCTGGATTAGAAGTTTGCAATATCTTTTAGTTTTTATAATATAGAAGAATTATATAATGGTAACACTTGCCGCATTTGACATAAGAAACTTGAAAATAATGCCAAATGGCTCATGGACATCAAATATTTCAAAAATACTTGATCTGAAACATAAGACTTATTTTGAATTTTCCAAAGCTGTTTTAAAAATGTACTTTCCCTTTAACTGTCTAGGCCCCTGAACTGTTGATGTGGAAGTGCATTGAACTTAAAAGGAAGATAAATCAGCTAGAACTACAGTCCTCCCCACTGAATGTGAAAGGACAGGATGGGGACAAAGTTAAGCAGATTGCAGGTAACAGTCCTTATAAAGTCTTACAGATATAAAGGACAACTAATAAAATAACTGATATTGATGCAAAAAATATTGTGGTAATCACATAACATAGATGGAAGCTCAATTGATTTTATATATATGTAGTTGGGAGCGTAACTTGCATTATACTGAAAAATGGTTTGTTTTTTTAAAATGTTTCAGATCTTTGTGAGAGAGTGAGGGAGCAGGATAAGGCGTTATTAGAGAGAAGTTTACCTGTACTACAACAGAGACTTCACCGTACGGGGGCAGCCCTCACAGACTGTCACACTGTGTCAGAAAGACTGCAGGAATGGTAGGTCTATGTCAGGAGTGTGTGTGTACAGGGAAATATATGTATGTAACACTGTGTAAGATACCCTGCAGGAATGGAAGGGTGATTCTTGCAGTGATGATTCTTTTCCGACATTTGCCAGAATTCTGCTATTTTGAACCCAAAACGCCAATATAAATGAGTATTTTCCAATATTTTTGATACTTTCTAATTTTGCATCAATCTGTGTCCGTTTCTGTCTACATAAGTATATTCAATTGTCTAGTCCATGTTTTGTTCTAGTCTGCGTCATCCAGATTTTTGGTATCTCCAGGAAATGTAATCACAAACGTATGCATGATTCAGACTTTGTAACAATGGTTTATCAGGATGTAACAGTTGTTAAACGGACTGTTAAACTTCAATATTTGTCACTTACTTAAACCTATTTAGGACTCCCTAAAGCCCTTATACCAGCACCCCCTCGACTGCCTAAAATATTTCCGATATTTTGGACAATTCATAGAATCATCACTGTTCTTGTCAGGAATATGTATGTACATGGAAAATGACAGGATAGAAAATATTAAAGAATCATAAAGTACAGTTAAAGTGGTTATATTGAAGGGATGAAACAGGGGCTGACAAATAGATTTTTAAGGCACTAGTCCAAGGGCAAGTACATGGTCAAAATTGACTTGCCCTACCTGAATTTTTGCTTGCCCTACCATAAACTAATTCTATATTTATAGATATTTTGAAAAGGAGGAAGACAAATGCTGAGCAAGCCCCCATGCCAAGCTTTAAATTTATGGCCTACAAATAAATTCTATTTTTGATAAATCACTTGCCCGCGGGCAAGTGGTTGATAAAATTCCACTTGCCCACACCTAAAATTCACTAGCCCCGGGCGTCGGGCAATGGGATTTGTCATCCCCTGGATGAAAGTTTGATTTTGGTATATATTTAAAAAAATGGCAAGTGGAAACTCTGACGATCTGCTATTATTTCATAGTGCTCTTTAACAGTGATATGAAAGTTGACGAGTGGAAACTTTGACGATTATTAGAAATTCATCAATTTTGTCAACGTTTCCTCATCGTCAAAATTTCCACTTTTACAGTATTTAACACAAGTTGATAGAGAGAAATTATTTAAAAAATTACAATATCGTAGATTTGACTACTGCTTCTTTTTTATTTAAAAATGAAACATGACAAAATGTGAAATTGTTCTTTTTAGCTTGCCTGGATAATTTAGTAATATTTAGGGAATTCATTTCTTCCAACTTATTTAATTAAGGTGGGACCAGCCAGCTCAGTACACAGTGCCCTGGGTAAAGGTGGACCAGAATACACTACAGCAATGGCAAAACAGGTGGACCGTTCTCTCTACCAAGTACAGGCAACTGATGCTGCAGAAAGCTTAGCAAGGGGTGAACAAAATGTAGTGTAAAAACGTCCATAGTGATTTCACTTGGTGACTAAAATGACTGATTTACATGTCTTCATATACAAAAAGTTTTCATGTCATTTGTTGTTTTTCTGAAAATTAAGAATTAAAAAACTGATTTCACTCAATTTTGTTTATGTGGTTAACAAAATATTTATTTCATGTCAGATGCTTTAATCTTCTAAAAACACAAAAAACCCTACAGAAACTAAAATAAACTGTGAATAACTTAAGCAGTTTATATTGCAAGAGAAGAAATTAATGAGATTTGATTTCAGACTGGAGGAACATCACATACAGCTATGATAACTAACAAAACCACCGTTACAATGAAGTTCATGATACTGAACAGACAAAAGAAGAAAAAGTCCAGAAAAACAGACACTTCTTTACACTTGAATGGAAGTTCTAACTCCGTCTGGACTGCAAGAGGTTGTAAGCCATATCTCATACGCTTCAGTGATTTTCTTCCTTCATTGGTTTCTGGTAATTCCGTTTTGTCTTCTCTGGTGTCAAGTTGGTGTAATTTCGTGTCTTTCACCTTCTTGCTTTTGCAGTTAATTTTGAGGAGCACGCTGAATGTGAAATGTTGAAGCCATTTTGGTACGTTTGATTGGTCAGTTTTGAGACAGAGATGGAGGTTTAAAACTGTGATGAATATACCTAGGGCGGCCATCATCAGTATTATAGATATGTAAATTCCTGTTCAAAATAAAATTTACATATTATGTTCAGAGTAAATTTATAAAGCACACTTAAGATATGTGAACAAATTACAAGATTTAGGTTATCGAGAGTCACACAGGTAATGCACATGTACAGTGTATTGCATTTTTTGTCACCCATTTTAGTATTATACGCATTCCTGGTCATGCCTTAACATTTGAACAATTTCAGCTTCTCTAGAATGTCAAAAGCGATTTTGACACTATTTTTCCAAATTTTGGGCAAATAAGAGCCAAACTAGCAAATATTACGGTCTCTGTTTCTCTTTTGCCCAAGTATTTTGAGACCAATAATTATTGGAATTTATTTTTCAGTGTTCATTATCATGTTTACCCCTGGACTTCTAAAACACAAGCTATAAGCACATTAATGATTCTAGTGTCCTTGCAAAACTGTTTTGGATTCCCTTTCTTGATAAGTCAAAAGTGAACAAAACTTGAGAACCCAATGATTTTCAGGTTACCTTTATGGCCTTTGACATAGGAAAACATATGTTCTGAGACTTTTTCAAATACGAAATGTAGTGAATTACTCAATTTTTTTTTTAAATTTAAGGATTTTTAGCTCTTCTGAGCCAAAGGCTCAAAGAGCTAATGCTATGGCTATATGTGCCATGTGGGTAAACTTTTTAGAATATGGGCCACCCCTTGGCCTATCAGTACCAAATTTGTCACAGGGTATCCTAGGCCCAAGGGCTACCATTTATACTAAAATAAGGGTTGGGACCCTTAAACAAGGGGAGATAATCAGGAAAACAAAACCATAAGTACTGGTTGCTAAAAAATCTTCTTCTGTAGAACTACCAGGCAGATTTTCACCAAACTTATATACAAGGATCAGGCTATGTCGAAGATTAAAATTTGCACGGGGAATTACCCTGGGGCAAAGGGCGTGGTCTCAAGGTCACTTCAAAGTTGACCTAAATTTACAATTAATAAAAACGTGTATACATGTATTTTGCTTACTATAAGGACTAGGATCATCAAATCTTGTAAGTTGATGCATCTTACGACTTCACATCATGTTAATTCAAAAGTAGGTCACAGTGACCTACTTTTTAAATTTTGCGGGGATTTGTTTTCAAATTGATTTGAAGGCATATTTTGGACACTTTAAGGCCTATGATCATCAAACTTTGTCAGTTGATGCATCTTGGATCCTCGAACAATGTCAACTTAAAAGTAGGTCAATTTGACCTACTTTTTGAACTTAATGACTTATCTTCTTAAAAACATTAAATCCCATTATTTCAGACACTGGGATGTTTAGAATCATCAAATCTTGTACTTTGATGCATCTTGGGACCTTAAAACATATTTATGAAAAAGTAGGTCACTGTGACCTACTTTTTGAATTTTGCCGACATTTGTTTTCAAATTGTTTAAAACGCATATTTTGATTACCTTCAGACCTAGGATCATCAAACTTGGTCAGTAGATGCATCTTGGGTCTTTGAAAAATGTCGACCAAAATGTAGGTCAAGATGACCTACTTTTGACATTTTATGGCTATATGTAAGTATTTTAGGTATTAATTGGCTTAGAATCATCAAACTTTGTGAGTCTATGCATATTTGGTTTTCGGAGAGTGGCGACCAAAAAGTAGGTCATGGTGACCTACTTTTGACATTTTGTGGCTATAATTAAGTATCTCTGGTACTTATCGACATAAAATCATCAAACTTTGTCAGTTGATGCATCTTGGGTTTTCAGAGATTGTCGACCAAAAAGTAGGTCACAGTGACCTACTTTAGACATTTTATGGCTATGTTTAAGTATCTCAGACACTTACTGGCTAAGAATCATCAAATTTTGTCAGTTGAGGCATCTTGGGTTTTTGGAGAATGTCGATCAAAAAGTAGGTCACAGTGACCTACTTTTGAATATCTCAGGTACGTATTAGCTTAGAATCATCAAACTTTATCAGTTTAGGCAACTTGGGTTTTGGAGAATGTCGACCAAAAAGTCGGTCACTGTGACCTACTTTTGACATTTTATGGTTATATTTAATTATATCTGGTACTTATTGGCTCAGAATCATCAAACTTTGTCAGTTGAGGCATCTTAGGGTTTCATTGAATGTCCAACAAGAAGTAGGTCAGGGTGACCTACATTTAAATATCTCAGGTACTTATTGGCTTAGAATCATCAAATTTTGTCAGCTTAGGCATCTAGGGTTTTTGGATAACGTCGACCAAAAAGTAGGTCACCGTAACCTACTTTTGACATTTGATAGCTATATTTAATTATCTCTGGTAATTGGCTTAGAATCGTCAAACTTTTTTCAGATGATGGCATCTTGGGTTTTCAGAGTTGACCAATAAGTAGGTCATGGTGACCTTCTTTTGAATATCTCAGGTTGTCAATTAATGTATCTTTAGTCCTCAGAAAATTTCAATCAAAAGGTAGGTCACTGTGACCTACTTATGGTATTTTATAATTATATTATAATATCTTCAGTCTTAACTGGCTAAAGATAGGTGTATGTTGACCAGTATGTTGACCTATGATAGGAGTATGTTTATCTATTATAGGAGTATGTTGACCTATGATAGGAGTATGTTGACCTATCATACATTGTAGAAGTATGTTGACCTATGATAGGAGTATGTTGACCTATGATATGAGTATGTTGACCTATGATAGGAGTATGTTGACCTATGATAGGAGTATGGGTTCCTATGATAGGAGTATGTTTACCTCTGATATGAGTACGTTTACCTATGATAGGAGTACGTTTACCTATGATATGAGTACGTTTACCTATGATAGGAGTACGTTTACCTATGATAGGAGTATGGGTTCCTATGATAGGAGTACGTTTACCTATGATAGGAGTATGTTGACCTATCATACATTGTAGGAGTATGTTGACCTATGATAGGAGTATGTTGACCTATGATAGGAGTATGGGTTCCTATGATAGGAGTATGTTGACCTATGATATGAATACATTTACCTATGATAGGAGTATGGGTTCCTATGATAGGAGTATGTTTACCTATGATAGGAGTATGTTGACCTATGATAGGAGTATGTTGACCTATGATAGGAGTATGTTTACCTATGATAGGAGTATGTTGACCTATGATAGGAGTATGTTGACCTATGATAGGAGTATGTTTACCTATGATAGGAGTATGTTTACCTATGATAGGTGTATGTTGACTTTGATAAGTGTGTTTACCTATGATAGGTGTATGTTGACTAAGATAAGAGTATGTTCACCTATGAAGGTGTATGTTTACCTATGATAGGAGTATGTTTACCTATGATAGGATATGTGACCTATGATATGAGTATGTTTACCTATGATAGGAGTACGTTTACCTATGATAGGAGTATGTTGACCTATGTTGAGTACGTTTACCTATGATAGGAGTATGGGTTCCTATGATATGAGTACGTTTACCTATGATAGGAGTATGTTTTGATATAAAATGTTGTCCCCCACCATCATAGCATCACCACCAAAGCTAGTAAAACTGTCAACGTGTAGGAAATCTTCTCTCCGGAGTCCGTTGGTAAGAGGAAACTTAGGTTTTACAGCAGAGAAATCATATCACAGGGTAAACAATGTTGGTCAGGTAATCCTGGGCGCCGCTGGAAAACAATCTGGAACTCCAGTTTGGAAAATTTCTCACCATGTTCTTTAAAATGCTCTTATCGTGATGAGTATGATCCACTCCCCGTTTTCGTGGAAATTCTATGTATTGACCTTGTCATGGCTTTTGTTTAAAGTCAGTACCTCTGTTGTGAAGGCAGAACTAGAGACTTCTATCTTACACACTTGATAGTCGAATGGAAAGTACGCAATGTCAATATCACACGGAAATAAAAAGTCCTGGAGGGTCCCAGTGTACCTCGCCAGTATTCTTTACTCTGAAGAATATTTCGTCATGACCGATTGGGCTCATGCCCCCAACTCTTGCAAATAAATAAAAGTGAGTTTTCCGAATTAAGCACAGAATATAAAAATATTTGCAAATAAGCTTTTAAGAGAAATTTCCACGTCGAATATGTCACTAAATTGTGATGTAGCAGTTTAAGCAAGAATTAAGACCATCTATAATACAGTGGAAAAAAGATATTTGTAATTTTAAGTTAAAAACTAAACTTACGAGTTGTCAATGATAAGTTCTGGTCGCCATATATTGTCCTTTTTAGTGTATATGTATTCTATATCGCCGTTTGAAGCTTTTGACCAAACCAGGCGAGGATCTTCCCATGTCTAAAAGTTAGAGATCACCATAAGAGGGCTGGGTGGTTGTGACCATATTAACCTTCTTTAAGAAAAACTCCACATAAAGATATACAGTCTTCAAATTTTAAAATTAAAATGTATGAATTTTTTTTTCGAAATGATGGTTAGCTTAAGATATCATATCTAAAAAAGTTATGTC